ACAATACATGAAACATGCATTGATCATCAAAGTGTGTTTACCAAGGACAGCTCGAAATAATTCAGAAAGGTTAGTAGGAAACTATAAATAAATCAAAGAGAGAACAATTTATTTTAGGGATTTTCTATATATAAATATAGGCTTCCATTGGCCTACTTAAAGTGTGAAGATGGATTGGGTTTAGTCAGCAGCAAAGTGCTGGAAAGTAAATGGAACAAAAGAAGCTTGGAGACAGGTCACATTTGTTCTACTCTGCGCTTCACTCAGTGGAGCGTCCTCACTGTTTACACTTCCCTTTCACAACAACATAAATGTCAAGGCAGAGCTTGAACAGTAACAGTGCAAACATAGAGACTATAGCACTTTCCATACTGCGACCAAAGGGCTGTTCACCATTTTAAATCATTGTGATGAATTGTTGCTGATGGATAATAACATAAAGCCACCCTTATCCTTCAAAGTTTCCCACAGGACTTGGAGCTCATGCAGCTGAAGGGTGGAGAAAAAACATTTAGATGCGGTCACCTTGAAAAGGTCAACCTTGTTTGTTCTCCTTCACTACGTCCACATGTCGGGAACAATTAATACCGGCACAGGGAGGCGATAAACTCAAGGACTGCCATTAGGATGTCCAAATTTTTCTCTACTGTGTGTCTAAGCCATGGTGATAAAGTGGAGGTGATGATGCAGATTAATGGCTTCATCAATAACTGGCTGAACAGCATCTGACGGTAAATTCTCAACAGCCTGGAAACACTCTACAATCAACTGGCAGTTTATACATCAAACAAATAAATCAAGTGTAACAATCAATGTCCCAGCTGCCCGTGTGGAGCAGTAAATAAAGGTACCATCTTTGATAGGTGGAAAATGCTCAAGAGGGTCCCGACCATGCAATTTCTTTACAAACATTAAAAAAAGAATTTGGAACTAATTTTTGTTGAATATCCTAACCTTCCTGTTGTCCTCGGGTCAAATGTTTAATGCAAGGGCTTATTCTATCAAATTACCAGAAAAAAAAATATGGATGTTTTCAGAACACGCTCTTCGCTAGAAAAATTACAACTACTTTCATTTACTCCTGTGTTATTTATTTATGGCATCTGGTAAAGTGCTGCCATTAGAAAAATAGAATCCTACGGAAGACAGTTAGGGCCACATTATTTTTCACATGTCGCCCTAATCCTCTTCCATATAATTCGGATACAAATTTGACATAGACCAGTCTGTGAGAATTCCTCAAGATTTTCTCCTTTGATTTCACCTAAAGTCAAAATAATTTAAAATGTTTAAGTTTTTTGCCTCAACAATAAGGTTTAATTTTGTGTAAATCAGGCCTATTGACCATCATTTCCAAAGGGATAGGTTAAACGTGGTAATGAGTTGGACTGAGTCGGATTAAAACTTGTAACCCAGATTTGGTTGATGATATGCTTTAGTCAAAATGTCCACTTTTCACGCGTAGACAAAGTTTAAGTGTCTCTTCTCATTAACCAGAATCAGAAGTTTACTTTGAGTTAAAGCTATTTTATAAATGACTGTTCCAAGGTGATGAAAAAAAAGTATTTTTTTTTTGTTCTGAGGAAAAAGTCAGAATTTTGAGATTAAAGTCTGAATTCTGAGAAAAAAGTCAGAATTCTGACTTTTTTCTAAGAACAAAAAAAAAACATTTTTTTTTCAAATCCTGCCAAAAAAAATGTATGTGGCCCTAATCCTCTTCCGTACAAATAAAACTAAACACTCAAACAACATTTTTATTTTTTTACGTCTAAACATAAATACACATTCCATTCATCTTTACTGTTATATAAATATATATATGTATTACATATGTATTTGTATAGTGTGTGTGTGTGTGTGT